AGGTGGAAAAAGAGCAACTCAACCGAATTGCCCTTGTAAATCTGTGTTACATTTTATATTCAACGCACACAAATCCGGGAGTTTTCACGGTATGTGTAAGTAACTTTATGAATTTTTATTTGGAGCTTGTGGCTCTAAGATTCCTACACCCGGATACACATTTTAACCAGTGGAGGCATAGGTTGTTTTTTGATTTTCTTATATCCGTGCAGCTTTTCATCTCCGATCGCTCTCTCTCTGGAAAAAAAAAAGTGTTTGTGTTTATACGCTTGCAAAGATGCAATGACAAGGGAGCAAGAGAGCGAGAAAGACGCCGCTTGACATCCCAGACAAAAGAAAATGTGGTAAAAGGGGGACGTCGTAAAAGACTTCAGCCCAGAACAAAAGGACCAAAGATGAAGGACAAAGAGATTTTTGAGAGGGGAAATGAGATCTAAAATGGCTAAAAGGTGACCATCTGCACGTAAAACATGTTTTGGTGTCGCAAGTCATTTATGTTCCTTCCTGTGTAGTTTCTGCCTTTTATTTTGCCAATTCACGACCAACATGACTCAAAGCATAATCGCCAAAGCATCCTTTGACCTCCGATGCCGCTTCTTCGGGCGCTCTGCCACCGCGTCCGGCTGTTATTTATTGTTACCCAGTTAGCCTGCAGTTCACCAACATAATTCTCATGTTTTACCTTGGCTGTGCCACTTTTAATGTCATTGTTTATAACTTTCAGCATTAGGCAGAAAGCAAGCGCGAGCCCTTGTCATAGTTGAGCACTGCTGCATTCACAGCGAGGGTCACGAGAGCCTAGCTTTCCTTTCACCTGGCTGCTTTCCATCATAGAGCAAGCTATGTTAAAATTATACGGCATGTCGGGATTTTTATCACATATTGCTCCCTCTGTGCACAATTATGCGGCACTTGGAGTAAAAAAAAAAAAACAGAGGTCTGACAAATATGAATCAACACAAAGTGCCTAAATGCACCATTCAGTGCAAATTGACTGAGGGCCTTACATGCATGACAACAAGGAAAGAAGAATGAAAGGGGTGTGGGTATGGGGGGGGGGCAATATCTTTCCTCAACAGGGTTCATCCATTTTCCGTGACACTCGTGGTCATAAATCAAAGCCGAGCAGGCAGACCGCAACAGGATGAGTACTTGCACTCCCTACCCAAGCCTTCATTCATTCCCGAAACCTCGATGGTGCCTTCAATAATGGAGGAGGAGATGCAAGACAGCACTTCCATTGTGGTTTGTGCAGCGTTTGGCTAATAAGCAAGCAACAACCTCAAATTGAAATAAAATACCACAACCTCTTGAAAACGCAATGTCATTTCAGACGACTTAAAACGCCCCCATCCTTGGCGCCCTTCCATGGCTAAAGGCTGACCACTTGGGCCGTGTTTCATTTCAATCTGCCATATATTTTTTTTGCTACAAGGCAAGGGAAAAGTCATTTTTCATATACAGAACTAAACGTCTGTATGAAGGTTCCCGAAAACCTTTCAGTGCACTAATATAATGACAAAATGTTGACAGTTACACTATGCATTATTTTTTTTTCCATTTGGCCATTTCACAAATCAAGCGCATAATATGTGTTGTGCTGCTCAAGACTCAAACTGATGCTGACGAGCTCACGGCTTCACAGAAACAGACATGAATAGAGTGCGTACGCCCGCTTGGTGTCTGCACAAAAACGCTATTGAAGACCTACATAAAGTTTTTGTGGGGCTTTAAAGCGCATTAGGCGCAGAGCAACTAAAGACGTGATGACTGCTGGCCGTCTGTTTGCGTGTAGACTCCAAAAAGGCTTTATTTCAACAACGGTAAGAGGAAAAGAAACATTTACAAGACAATAACCATGACAACATAATTATTTAGGAGCAGTTTGCGGTGTACAATTACTCGCTATCCAGATAGGAAGGATCAATGGAGATAGATCACGAGTGACGATAATTCTGGCGGCTAGCTAGCTAAAAAAAAGCTAACGTAGCCAAATGCTTCATTCAGTGCTCCATCTTGAATCTCTCATATTGCTAACTGGCGAATAGATGGATAATGGACGGACGGGTGCTAAGCTAACACAGCAGCTACATGACTCATTAAACAGGGCTCAAATGCATAACAACTATTTAAGTCTTATTTACATCTCTTCATCAGTATTTAGCCATGGATGGATGGATACCAAGCTAGGGTTGCCGTCGACATTGTTAAAATATTCACTTAATGTGCTTGTCCCACAGATCTCAAACGCATGACATCTATTTGAAGTTGAAAGACGTTTGACACCCAACGTACTGTTGTTTTTGACTGTAGCCATGGATGACAAGCTAAAGTAGCAGTCTACATCTTTGCTCCTTCTTATTAAACAGAACACAAGCGCAAAATAACAATTGAAGTTGGAAGACATTCGACCTTTGAGGTACCACAGTTTTTTCAGTATTTAACCACTGATGAATGGAGGGGTGCTAAGCTAATGAAGCCGACCAGCTCGAGTTGTAAATTTGCTCGGCGGCTGCCCGAGAGCACAGAGAAGCCCTTTTTTTTTTTTTCTCACCAGTCGATGAGAACAGAAGGTGATTTACTAGCTTAGTGCTTGCAGCCCTTCGCCGTCCTGCCAGCGTTTTAGCCTCCCTGCAGCAGCTCTGAAGGAAAATTAAGACCAAGGGAAGAGATTAAAATAACGCAGCGGCTAAATATAGTCCAAAAAAAAAAGTCATTTTGAAGTCACAGCATTCTCACAGTAGCCACCATTTATTTGGTCCGCTATTCACTGTGAAGTGGTGAGATAAATCCCATTGTTTTGTGGTTTAACACTGACCAAGGCTAACAAATTAATTTAGCACCAAGATTGCCTTTCCACTGGAAAAAATATGAGCAAAATATTGTGGCAGTCGCTCCTCAATAAGGACTTTGGAACCGGATGGTCACGGTTGGAGGACCTCTGTAAAGCAGGCAACTGTAAAATGGCACCTGGTTGCTAGAGAGAGACTATGGGTTGAAGTTCCCCTTGAAGGATTATTATGATTATAATATAATAAAGCTTTTCTTTTTAAAGGGCAAACATTACAGGCACGAAAAATCTTCCACTGAAAAAAGTGACCTCAATTTCCTGTCAAAATCATGTTGTTGTTTTACCTTTGTTCTTTGTTTTATTTTTTTTTTTTTTTACCACTTTGCCCATGACAAAGCTCTCGACAAAGTGGACATAGTTTAAATAGCTTCAAATGCTCCTTTTAAGGAGACATGTAATACTGCACTCTGTAGATTCGTGGACATACGGACAGATGGAAATTCAGCTAACATAGCAAATGTGACAACATTTTGGTTCTGACTGCTCAGTACAATAAGATGAACGAGAAAGAGACTGGAATGGTAACTGATAGCTACATATTTATTTTCACTTCTATGACAATCAAGAAAGTCAATGATACATAAAATAATTCCTGCGCCGTTAGCAGCATATCTAACGCCACAGCAGTTTGACTCTGGAACACATGAACTTTATTCCAATGGGTTTTGTGCTGTTATTTGCATAAGCCTAGCTCACAAAAACAAAAACAAAAAAAAACCAAACAAGAAAGGATAATAAAAACATTGTCTCCTTGGTGGAGAATAAATAAATAAATAAGAATTCAAAACAAAAACAACCATTTCCTTCAAGCAAAGCTGTTCGACAGCAGAGCCCTTTCCACCCCACTACAAGACCCTCGATTACGATCAACCAAGTGAGTCTTTACACTACAGATCAAATTAAAAAGTAGAACATTTCCACAACCTGTCAACCTAGCAGTGGGGTGCCATTTTTATCTATTCCCTCATCTCCGCATGTGTCTGTGTGTGTGTGTGTGTGTGTGTGTTTTCACTTATTGCCTGTCAGTAACACAAAACTCTAGCGAAGCATCTCATTGAGTGGAAGTAACTCTAGCCACTGTGCGTGGCGTGTATGCGCGCGCGTGTATTGGCGTGAGAGTAAAATATCAATTTCATGCATATTTGCAAGACCAAATTGCATCCCTTGATTGGGGCACAGAGAGGGCGAGGGTGTCCATGAAATGTAATCGTATTCCAGCGACATGAGGAGAGCAGCACTGAGGAGGGAAAAAAAAAATGAATTTGGAACTTTAAACAGTGTGCAGTGAGGGAAATCACTTTTCAACGGATCTGAAGTTGAGGGAAGAGCAAAATTTGTCTTGTCTTGGGGCCCAAAAGAGCATAATGTGAATTTTCAAGAACCGACTGAAAATAATATAAGGAATTGGTAATATGAAAATAAATTTATCATTGATACTTTTCAACCCAAAAAATTGTGGATCTTTGAAAGACGCCATTATTGTACGACTTACTGCTGCAGAAACATATAATATGTTAAGTTAGTTTTTTTATGAACGGGAAACAAGTGGCCGTACCGAAGCCACTGGTACGTGACGGTGGCTGTCGGCCTTTAAAACTCAAATTATTTAAATTTCTTTGTATTGCGATTTTATTCTCCTCGCCGCTACAAGTTTTTTTCAGAATAAAAAAAAATACATCCTCATGTCAATTTCCAACTTTTTTTTCTCATATTGTGAAAATTGTTCTTGTAACTGAAGGCCATTTTAATTTTACACGATGTATCATTTTTTAAAAATGAAAAAACAATGAAAATGAAATTTTCTCAAGTAGGGAAATATGATGATGACTTTGCTCTTAGTCTCGTCAACCCATTCACACAGCAGAGTACTGCTCATGACGTATGATGATGATTATTATTTTTAAATAACAATAATATCTTCCACAACCTGTCCACTGGCAAATTGAACTCTTTAGGCAACATTAAGAGGACAACAGTAGTGTGAGATGAAACACAGGTGTGTGTTTAAATGTCAACAATCGATGCTTCATTGATGCAAATGTTGACTGAAGAAGTGCATCCAGGTTCCACCACCACCACCACCACCATAATCATTGTGTGCCAAAGTGACACAGCGGGGGGGAGAAGTCAGCAGAAGATTGATTCTTACCGAGTGCGAAGTAAGGCAGAGCCGTATTGTCGAGATCATCCATTACGGAAATCCGGCCAGGTAGATCCGTCCTGACGAATAAGAGGAGCCGCGATTCCCCACCACCTCCGCCCGGTCCTCCTCCAGCGGTCCCCCCTGCTCCGGCGGAGGCGCCCCCTCCACCTCCTCCTCCTCCGACCGAGCTCCCGGAGGCTCCCACGCCGGTAAAGCTGAACTCGTTCTCCCGGAGCACGGGGAGCGTGGAGACGGTGACGCTCTTGAGCTCGCACGGAGCCCCCGCGGCGTGTCCGTTTCCGCCGGGCGTTCCCTCGTCGGTGGCGCCGGCGGTGGTCGGCGCGAGCCCCGCGAGGAGCGCGCGGAAGAGCAGCAGAAGCAGCAGCGGCGCGGTGCTCGCCATTTGGGCACCCTCCCCCCCCCCAAGCTCCTCGTGCGCGCTTGTGCCGCTTTGAGAGCGCCGAGCCGAGTGGCCGTGCACTTCCGAGAAGGGAGCAACCAGCCTGCCACAAGCTCGCTTTGCACACGACGATGCGCGGCTGTCCAGGAGGCGGCAGCACAGGTGAGCTGGAGACGGGGGAGGGTGGGTGATGAGGTCGAAGAATCCGAACCTCCAGCCGCCCACGTGTCACGTCATCCGGGCTTGGTTGTCACTCAACAGTGAAAAAGAGAATGTTGCATTTTCAAAGCATGAGACTCTGACTGACTTTTTTTAAATAAAAAAAAAATATATCATACATTCCAGATTATTGGTTTGTTTGTTTTTTTTTATTGATGGTACAGCCCCTCAATAAGAGGCGGCTGTGGGTGCCACATTCCTTATTAAAACCACCACAGTTCGGGTATCATGAAATAAAATTCACATAACGCAATTCACTTGGAATCCAGTGCATCCAAAAGCAAATGCCAACGGTTCAAATGGAGAAGGTTCTAACGGGAACGAAAAGTAATTTGAAGCTCATGGAAAGGTCTGCATGTGTACAGGCCATTATATTAGGCACACCTGCAATGAAATCCAAGGCAGGAGCTGTATCCAAAAGTTTGGTCTTGACAAAGATAATAAATACTATTCCAAAGAGAGAGAGAAAACGTCTGACAACTTGTACCATTATTGCCTACCAAAGAAATTGTACTTCATTTTATTCTACATGTTGGTTGACTTGTCTTTAGCCATGACAGTCAACGTGACTTGATTTCAACCATTTCCTTGACAGTACATACAGGTATGAGCCATTATTTGCCATCATTCAACCAATACGACTGTTCACATAGGTCTCCTCCTCCAACTTTTTGGACATGCACGCAAGAGAAATGAATCCCACTGTTGCAACCCGGAATGTTTCACCTGAGAGATCCCAGTTGCAATTACAGAGCATTCACTCCATCGCGGAGTAATTCACTCTGGCTGACTGCGCCACTGAATAAGAATGAGACAACCTATGAAAGCGCCATCGTCACCGTCACTGTCGTCTTGGAACTACACCGTGGGATTTGCACCCATTTTAAAAGGCAATTACAAGGAATTAACATCGTTGGAATAACTTATTTAAAAAAAAAAACATTTATCACTTAGTTTTTGTTTTCACAGCATCGATATGTTGGCTGCTCACAAACAGCCCTTTTTTTTTGTATGTACTTCTGTTCATCATGTGTTACCGCTCGAGTCTCATGTGAACACACTACCCACTCCAAAGGCGTCGGGAAAAACACGTATTGCGGAAAGCGCTAGCTGTGTCTTCCGCGTCTTTCACTCAATATACAGAATAATTGATGCAACAGCTACCGCCCACTGGGAAACAGTCAGAGTCGCATTTCGAATTCCTTCCTCGGGAGAGCGGCGAGCAGACTCACAAGGGCGTTGGTTGTACACAAATTCTTGTGATTAACATGACAGCCGCTGTGACGCACTTAATATTGAGCCGCCACAAACCCAAACGAACAACCACATGCTGCTTCATCTCGTCTGAAGGTGTTATGATTTTGACTGCCAGTAAACTGCCTGTTCTGGTAGAATTTCTGCGGCAGTACCAAGAATAGCCTGTGAGAGGCAGTATGGTGCCACAGAGCAGCCAGATTGCCAGAAGAAGCTCGGCTTATTCTTCGCTAACCTGGGAAATACATTGTGATGCAAAGGCTCAGTTTTCATTGGCATGAATCACACGAGAGACACGTGCAAACAATCACAAGCGAATGCTTCGAGAAAGGTTTAGGATTGGATTTTTGGATTTGGACAAACCGCTCACACAAACAATGAACCGACAAAGTCGGAAGGAAACTGTGAAACTTAAATCCACGCAACTCACGAGACAACGAGAAACATCTGGACAAGACAAGAGTCGCTGAGGGAGATGATTGCCAAACACGAGGCAGCGGGTTGATGAGCAAAGGTGGACACGAAAACCTAACGAGACAGACCTGGAAAAAACATGACCAAATAATATCCGACCAAAACCAGATCACCAAAACTCACATCATGGCAAGCCTCCATCGTTTTCAGAGCAGAGCGAGGAGGAAAAGCCACTTTGAACTCACCCCACAACATGAAAATAATTGCTCAGAGAAATCCCAGAACAGACATTTGCTGACTTTGATCGCAATGGAGGAAAAATACATGAATTAGGCTTGGATGAAAATCAAAGACTTATAATCCAGTAAAAAAAATAAAAAATCACACACATTGACATCTTAATGTAGGCAAGGGGGAAAAAAAGCCTTGGCACAACAATGTCATGATGGGCTTTAGGGGGCTCCTATTTGCATAAAGCCAAAATTAGTGATGCGACTTAGCTCGGCTATGTTAGCGCTTGTGGCTTCACTTGGTGGCTGACAGTGAACATTTATGTTTTCGTTTCTGTCTGGCGCTGAAAGCCTTTGAATATGCAAAATTACCACTGGTGGCTACAGGCTGAATTTGTTTTATTGTTGCTCTTTTGCACAAGTTTTGGGAGTAAAACAGTCTGCTGCAAACATCATATTTAAAAACAAAGCTAAGCTTCCAAATTCAAAGTCTCTTTCATAACACGAGTAAAAAAAACCTCAGGAGTGACATGATACTTATTATGAATGCTTCATGGTGTGTGCATGCGTGGCAAAATGTACACTGCACACCCCCGCCTCGGGCTGACCTAATGCGCCCCTCTCGGATGTGCTCCGACGCCGTAATGTTCAAAATGAATGCAGCAAAATGAAGCGGCGCATGATGTCACTTATTTCTTGGCACGGATCTCTCCTTTTCAGGAAAGTGCAACATAAATAGTTTGTCTTGTTTTCATGAATAAATGAAGGGTGCAGTCAAGTACAACAGTGTGAATTATTAGGCCATCATAACGGCAAGAACATTTCTTATTGCTTCGGCTTCAGAAAAGATGTTTGGACACGCTGGAAGGAAGTTAGACCACCAGTGCCGTATGAAGCCTACTTTTGAAAAACATTAAACTAGTCAGTGACATGGAGAAAAACCTCCATTGCCTCCTCTGTATCTTTGTCATCATCAATATGGACACCTGCTATGTGACCGTCAGCTTGGTTGGGGGGGGGGGGGTCCCAAGGTGAAAGAAGTTTTCGTCAGCAGACTCCCCAGAGGAGGGAGAGAAGATGAGCCGTCTGCTGCCTTCACATTGGCACGCAGCAGGTGAAAAAAAGTTTCATTCCCTCCTGCTTCAAAGTCTGCATGTTGCAAGAAATTGTTTCTAGGTGAGAAAGAAGACGCTGACAGAAATCTCGACTGACCAGTATCAGGGCAGTGAAACATTGAATTTGTAACCTCGCAATCCCCAAGAGTGCATGACGTCGCTCGCATTGACCGCAGCTCCTGGTTGAATGTAAACAAACAATTGCAGCTTTTTAACAGCAGTCAGTTCATGTGTTGGTGGGTAAACTTTTATCTTGAATGCCCGCGATAATAATTCTTAACCACCAGAAGACTATATCCTCAATTGAGCTCTTTATTGAATGCCAGAAAGATCAAACACACAGCTGCGGAAACGTTTTTTTCTGCTGAATGGGGAAGAAAGGGTAATACGCCCAAAATGGTTCCTATTCTCTCTACTCACTGAGCCACAACCACTCTGCGGTTTTAACTGGTTCCAACCTGATACGTGTGCCGGAGTGCAGATAGATAGGATGATGTCGAGCCAGGAGGAAATGTCACAGCGACACAACGGTCACCTATGTCATTATTTGCGCCAAAGAGTCCCAGTTTAATGGTCCACATAATAATCAATGGAAGGAAACAGTTCAAATCTCCTGTCTGCTTTACTTAACTTCACTTTTAACTCTTGTCCCTTCTCTGTATCTCTTGCGGGATGCATTCCTCCCCGAGGGGAAGCCAGCCGGCTCCAAGTTGGAGGTGAAAAAGGCAGTACTGAATTCACTGTGTTATTGAATTGCTTTAAATTATTTCACTGTTTTTGGTTCGATTAAATCTTAAACGTGTTCTAAATGTGAAATAATTCCTTCAATCTATGGCAAAGACTTTTTAAAATTAATATTTTGCCTTTTTTATGCGCAATACAGATTAGGCCAGCGTTTCAGGGTCGATAGATGTTTTGCTCCCGTTTCAAGAGGCTACAGGAGAAATGCGCACAGCTTACGTTAACGTTGCCCTCTGCCAGTAAAGCATGCGGTCAGCGTGTTTGCAGCTATCGTCAACGCTCTAAATCACCCCCCTGACATTTATTTACCTTCCGCGGGATTCAAAACGCTTCACTGATTCGCTAATGGAGCAACTAGCTTCAAAGATTAGCCGAAAGGGCAAAAGTTTTGTTGCCGTTTCCGCTTAAAGGGGTGCGGGAAGTGCTGACGCGGGCTCCCGCCTGGAAGCGGATGCCGCAGTTTGGCTGATAGATTTCATTGAACGGCGTCTCTCTCGAATGGCCAAACAGTAACAAGACATCATCACGTGGGATCGATGGCTGTCGGCAAGCTGCGACTAAAACAAGGGAGCGCAACGGGGAAGAGCTGCATTTTTATTAGCTGACTGAGAGCTTTTTAAAAAGGTTCCGCGCTTGGTTATTTGAGATTTATGGCTGTGGAAATTGCTTTGACCCGAACGAGACGGCGGCAGCGGCTTTCCAAATGTGTCCAAATTGAATTTGACGGACAACAAGCTGCACCTGAGACAGAGACGTTAAGCGGATTTTCAACAGCGCAATGACTGAGGGGAGATGACCTTTACTTTCCTTTCTGACAAAAGTCTTATCGGGTGTCATCAAGTGAAAAATTATCTGCTAGCGCTTCATGCTAGCCAAACGCGGCTATTGTTTTGATGCCCATTTGCTTGTTGGCAGGATTATGTTATACATACAGTGACTAAAAGCTAACAAACAGAAGCGCCTTTTGGACTTGAAATTGAATGAAGCAAATGGAAAAAATATATATATATATATATATATATATACACATATATTGAAAACAAGTTCATTTAATGAATGTTAATTACGTTGAAAATAAATTATTCCGTTTCAGAAATGCACCCACATCCATTCTCACATAGGAGGCTTGTTGTGTTTTAATGAGATACTGCTTATGTAACTCAAGGACACTTTTCCTTAGGTTACTTAAAAGTCGCGATATGAATATGTTATGTATATTTTTATTTTATTGTGATTATTTCTTTCTTTCAGTGCAAGTTATAAAACAAGGAAGAAGCTTTGTAACAAATGGAGAAACTAAGAAAAAAAAGTCTCTC